GCCGGCACGAGTGAAGTATGGTCAAACACCCAGAACTGACACACACACACCTCCGCGCCGCCGATTAGCACGGTTGGCTATGTACGGCGTGAAAGAAGTTCAACATAGATAATTCGGAGGTCTTTATTAAGCAGTGAATTGACAAGTGGCTGCGAATAGTTATTACAATAATGACTAAATGGCCACTTGTATAGGCTTTACACCACCTCTTCTACCCACCCACACGGCCAGGTGCCTCATTCTGACATGCCCCCTGTTCTCGATGTGCAACACTCATCGACAATTGCCACTGAGTTCCTGATGCAAATTCTATGTTTTGGGAGAGTGATAACGTTGAATAACTACAAAGAGCTGAAACACTAATTTGCACTTTGTTCCCTCCCAAATATTTGGGGATAGAAATGCAATACTTTTGAATTTTGAACCTGGATATAGGTCTGTTTCGTTCTCCACCCGATTGTTTCAAGGTTATTTTCTTCAACCAGGTAATCGATTGGGGGCGATGGTTTCCGTGTAGAGTCTCAAATCGAGTAATCGGCTATATGAATTTTGAATTTGGCGAATTGGAACCCTGACCTCGTTTGGACCACGTTAGGGTCTCCTGTATGAATACAGTAAACGTGAATACCGATATGACCAATACAGCATTGCGCAAGCGTCCTCGCGCTCACCATGCCCGTGTGTGCCCACGTGCTCAGGTGTCTCTGCTCACTAGCGCACACCCCCATCAAAGATAAAGAAGAACCGCCAGCGCTTTGTCAATCCACCTCCCCATACCGTGTCGGTTGTGGGGGGTGTTTAACCATACTTTACCGGACTGGGTAATGCTTCTTGGTGCGGAGGAAGGCACCCAGGATTAATTTAGATAATCACTCCCTCCTGATGTTAGCGGTGGCTGGGAATCAAACCCAGGTGGCCGGGTTCATAGTGTAGTGCGTGAACCATCGGTGAGCGTTTGTCATGTGGAATGTAACCGAAGTATCTGGATTTGAAAGAAATATACAAACATACGAGGAAGCAACACACTCAGAGGTCTGCACATGTATATGCAGAATCGACATCTGGACTGCCATCTCGTGGTGACCTCGCAGCCATATGCGGTATAATGATTTGGCACGTGTATACACATAGCTCGATCACGTTTGGTGAACGTTGGTCAAACAACTTGACTCGGCAGGAGGCCTTCATCCAGCAGTGGATTGACACAGAGCTGTAACATATTTAATATGATTTTTTTTAAGACACCCTCCGTCTTAAGAGCGGTAATGATTTACTGCGCAGGTAAGGGGGGGGAGGTAGCGACTTCCCGTCCGCCTGGCATGCTCCTGTGGATGTGTGCACGCTTGTACAGTCTACAGACGGTCAGGTGTGCACTGTCCCAGATGTCTCCACCCCCCCCGAGGTGGGCGTACCCAGCATGGTGGTGGCGTCTCCGACACCTGTACCACCTGTCCCACCCCCACCCCTTCCCTTCTACCTGCTCACTCACCTGAGTCCTCCCCTCCCACACCATTCTCCTTTATGAGCACACTCGGCCCCTATTTCAGATCTGTGCGTCACAATGAAGCCCATCGCAACTGAAACAATGAGTGCGCCGTCAGGAAACAAAACGCTTTCACAACGCACAAAGGGTGTTCAGCATGATAATTGTTTTTTTTACCCTTTTATCTGGCAACAAAACTGACACCTTTTTAACAAGGAGTCATGTTTACATTGACCACAATACCGGCGGTCGGAATGCAAACAAAAAACATAACTCTGATAATGTATTGGCACTGTCCTTGAAATTGATTGGTCCACACCCGAGACAGCTTTCCTTAGAGCCTAGTCTCACATGGTGTTGGACCAGATGACGCTAAAAGGCGCTTTCCTTGGAGCCTAGTCTCACATGGTGTTGGACCAGATGACGATAAAAGGCGCTTTCCTTAGAGCCTAGTCTCACATGGTGTTGGACCAGATGACGCCAAAAGGCGCTTTCCTTAGAGCCTAGTCTCACATGGTGTTGGACCAGATGACGCCAAAAGGCGCTTTCCTTGGAGCCTAGTCTCACATGGTGTTGGACCAGATGACGCTAAAAGGCGCTTTCCTTAGAGCCTAGTCTCACATGGTGTTGGACCAGATGACGCCAAAAGGCGCTTTCCTTAGAGCCTAGTCTCACATGGTGTTGGACCAGATGACGCCAAAAGGCGCTTTCCTTAGAGCCTAGTCTCACATGGTGTTGGACCAGATGACGCTAAAAGGCGCTTTCCTTAGAGCCTAGTCTCACATGGTGTTGGACCAGATGACGCCAAAAGGCGCTTTCCTTAGAGCCTAGTCTCACATGGTGTTGGACCAGATGACGCCAAAAGGCGCCTTTTGTTGCGGTTGCACCCGATTGAAGAGCCGAATGGCTCACAGGGCTATACCAAATAAATGGAACTATGAAAAAATGGGTAAGGGTATGTATGTTGAACTTCTTTCGCGCCGTACGTAGCCAACCGTGCTAAATCGGGGTGCAGCATAATACAGTACAGCAGCGCATTACGAGATGGAGAAGGGCCATCGCCCGAAACGTCGCCTGTTTTATATATTTCATTATCAGGCAGTGTTATTGATGAATGTGTTGAAGGATAAGTGAATATAGATTATTACGTCTCGTCATCAATGCATCGGAAAACACGCGCTGTGTAAGAATCGACATTAGTCGCCATGCGTAGATTATATTAGAACTTTGAGTGAGCTCGTCACCCACAATGCACCCGATCTCGTTACATCTCGCAAGCTCGCAAGGAGGCTTGAGCCTAGCTCGCGTTCGGGCCGTGTGGCCACGTTTTAGTCGCAGAGGGCAGGGCAGCGACACCCGATGTTGTACCGTACTTATATGGCCCTTGTCATTATAACCCCTCCTGCGCGCGCTCAAGCACGGCGTGGGGGGGGGGGGGGGGTCCTCATCCAGCAGTGGATACAAGACAATGAGGCTACACATTACGTTCAGGCTGATTATACAAACGGTGGAGCGAACGGGGCTTCTGTCAATGACATGTGTTTAACAAGCCCGACTCTGTTAATGAGATCCAGAATGTCGAAATCGGTGAAACGAAAACAACCGTACAAAGAGCACACGCGATACGGTAATAACGATACAAAAACAATTGCCGAATCTAATCCCCAGAAGGTGGGAGTCAGGATCGGAAACTGCCCTTCCTCCAGTAATCTGCATAGGAAGGAGGAGTGGGGGGAGCGTGTGAGAGGAGAGAGAGGGAGCGAGTGGGGTGGGAGGCGGGGAGGGATGGACAGGGTTGGTGGTGCCGCTGCTGCTGCTGCGTGTGTCTCTATCAGTGTGAGTGAGTGTGTATGTGTCAGTGTGTATGTGTCAGTGTGTGTGGGTGTGAGTGTCTGTCGGTGATGGGAGTGACGAGAGCTCATCTCCGGAGTAGAACATTTGGATGCGAAGAGGCGGCTCTGAGTGATGCGGAGAGCGCAGCTGCAGGTGAGTGGCGTGCGCGTCGATGGAGTGGAGCGGTGGCGCAGCGGTTAGCGCACTGCTGCGCCGCTCTGCGCTGCGCAAAGAACCCGGCGACCAACATCGGTGGCGATTATCCACGCCTCCCCTAGGTAAACTCGGCCTTAAATGAGTACGTCGGTCAACTTGTAAACGCAAGTGCCGGGAAGACAAAGACTGCCGGGGGTGCTGCCCACACCACCCCCTCGTGTGCCGTGCCGGCCTTCAGAGGTGCTCGCTAACAGCACTTGCCCCAACAGTCTGTTAAGGCTATGCGGGGGATCTTTGTTCTCTGTCAGCCGGGGGTGATTTGACCATACTTCACGACGGTCAGAAGAAGAAGAAGGAGGGAGCAATTACGCGCGAGGATAGAAGTCCAGTACAGTACTGTATAGCACTATACGGACAGTGTTTTCGGTGTGGCCTCTGCTGTCAAAGTAGCCCCGCACACCACACGTTGTGCACACTGGCGGTCACCCATCCATGGCACCGTCCAGGCTCAGCCCCTGCTTAGCTTCTGAGATCTGAAGAGACCCGGAGCGCATCTAGCATAGTTGGGGAATAGCAATGTCGTTCTGGACTGTATCTCTAAATACACGTGTTTCTCTCTGCCAGTATTCACCCATAACGATGCCGCCGTGCTAACACCCATCCACACGCTAAAGTCGCACCACCTGTGTCATTGACATTCTGCCCACACGCAAGCAACAACCACCACCATCTCGCTATATAGACAAGCTAACGGGGCTCCATCGCTTACATGGAGAGATCCTGCCAATAGCATCCATCAGCGTTTGTCTCACAGGCCCGACCCTGCTGATGAGACAAAATAATGTCGAACCCGGTCCAGAGGTTGTTTGCTTAAACAAACGCTGGTGGGTTAATGTTGGTCTGGAGAAACCAGAGGCTGATGGACCACATTCTGGCTGTGCGTTTTACGTGGAAACAGAACGGAGTTTTGTTTTGTATGCTGACACTGCTAAATGCATCTCTCTCACTCTCCATGCTCATTCATGACCCGGATGCGTCTGTCGGCAATTGTCAATGACATTATCCCTGCGGCGTGTTTTTATGTATATGTTGACCTGCGTTCGCACCGAACGTATGCATAGAACTAGAAACCATGTCTAAAAGAGAGAGAGAGAGAGAGGGTCTCTGCCTATGAATCATCTGGCAGTTCTCCAGAATTGGTTCAACCAAGCCGACCAGGCTACAGTCTATATTAGTGTTTTATTATTATTTACATTCATTTTATTTATTATTATTTTTCTATCTACGTGACTTTACCGAAAGAACCAAGAATATGAATTCCTGCAGTCACGAAAGTTTTAAGTAAAAATTCAACCAAGCCTGGCTGCGCACGAGATATGCCAGACCGCCTCAGAGAAGCCGCTTCTTTTTCGATTTAAAGCTTTCGTGACTGCAGGGATTCATCTTCTTGGTTCTTTCGGTAAAGTCACGTTGAATGGAAATAAAATAATAAAAATAAAACATAATAAAAATAAAATAATTATATTTTATTTTTATTATTTTATTTCCATTCTACGTGACTTTACCGAAAGAACCAAGAAGATTAATCCGCTTGTTGGTGATGAACGCTGCTGAAAGTTTGCACTCCCAGACGGGATGTATTTTTTTTTTAACATGGACGGTCATAAATATGGAAGTGAATTGTTTGCCAATTTGATGTTGGCGATCGTGGCTCTGGTGGTTTTCTGTCGGCGCTAGTCTCGCACTCCACGGAAGGTGAAGTGCCCTGCTTTCAGCACCGTAGGGATTCTGAGTTGTGTTTAGCGCGAGACGCAAAGCAACGGAGGAGAACCTTCGGCTGATCCTGCCTCGTGAGTGAATTCAGTCGAGCTCCAGGCCTTTAGAAACATTGGTTTTACGATGTTCTGGGGTTAAGCATAGACGAGGGCGTTTGTTTGGCAATCGTCATTTATGGTCCTACCACTCGACGAGAGCGTCACAACTTACATCAATCACTCAATGACCCCATCGTCTGGATGTATGAGATGTAGCTATACAATCCAGAGCTGTGTATGTGCATCCATCTTCAATAGACTAGACTCTGTGTTCGATATCATCACCATCCATTGGCTATCTACTGCTGGATAAAAGCCTCCACCCCACACCGTCCACAGCTCCTACCAATCATGCCATGCACATGCCATACCATGCATGAGTGTATCTGGTGTGCAGCTACATGGATGGAACTCTACAACTGCATACTACATTAATGTACAAAACCGTGGGCGGGAAGTCCCTGTACCCTCGCTTTACTATGAATAACTATGAATAATGTTAGTTTTTAAAGACAAGGGTATTCAGGGTGCACACATACTGTGTGTGTGCTTACGTTACTTTTATTAGAATGTGTGTTTTTTTGTTACCCAGGAAAGCCTCATTGCCATGATTTTTACTCAGGAGGGTCCTGTCACAGGTTTTCTCAATCGGGCCGATGTTACCATGTTACTATGTCGAATGCCAATTGAGTCATTTGCAGGTAACGTTTCAGCTTTGGTCGATATCGTTCACCATTGCCTTATAGGCTGTGTGCATGTTTGCAACCTGTGCATTCATCAACTATAGCTCACACATGTAACACTTTTTCACTCGGACACAATATACTACACGACTGCATATGCATACACAATCTATAACACCACAGCTATATATTTTACGATGAATAACCACGCAGTAACAGCAACAGTCTACGACTTTGTAATATTTAATCATCGTATGGATAGACTGGCTTCTTCAATGAGAATGTGGAATTTCCACCACCTACTTGGAATGGCCATTGGATTGAGCGCCCATAGCCCATTGTTGACTTGGAACAAGCTCACTTGAGGAGGGTTTCTCGCAGACTAATCTGCCACAGGGCAATATTTGACATAGGCATGATACTACATGATCATTTATACACGAGAGTGTGGATCTGTGGCTCGGTATTTAGTGCACTGCACTATGAACGCAGCAACATGAGTTAGATTCTCGGCCATGGTTAACACAAGTGCAGAGAGTGATATCTGAACTAGCCCTGGGCCTGGCCTCCCTTCACCATCCCCCACTGAGATGAGAGACGGGGTGTGTGGTACAAACAACCTCCTTGTGCCACAGGGCATGGGGAGGCCTTCATGCAGGAGTGAATTAACATTGGGCTATAAATTATTGCAATTATTATGACTATGTATACATATTATTATTGCAATAATTTACTTTGCATATGTGCGTTACATCACACCTAGAAGACACATTCTTGTGATGTATGGTTTAATAATACCATTTTCGACAGGTTGCCTTCTCAAAGTGAGGTATTAAACAAATAAAAAAACATCAGTATAAACTGATGCATTTCTTATGAGTCCCCACTGCAGATCACATTGAACTATGGTTCACTCGCTCACAGTTCTGGTAAGACATGGCCATCTCATTTTGTTCATTCAAGTCACAGTATATGCACATGCCTCTGGCAGTTAAATGCGGAATTAATTAGTTCGATTGTTTATTTATTATATAATTATTCACCGGCACTGCTAAATATGCGTGTGATTGGTTTTTGTCAGTCTCTGTTGATTTTTTACCTTTTACATTTGCATGAATTAAGCATAATTGGAGAAAAAATCATTGATATTGCAAAGAAATTGCACTCAAATGAACAATAAAAATTTATGTTTGTGCGAGGGATTTTGGAAAATGCACTAAGGTGAAAATAAAGCAATTGTCATTTTCTGGAGTTATTAGAAACAAGCGACAGTTGTTTCCCACTGAATTGAGTGTGTGGTGGTGCCAATGACCTGTTTAGAGCCATTGGCGGAAGTTCAACATTCGCATGGTGGATATTTCTGTAGGACCACCACTATTGACGTCTCCTCTACGTGGCATGGTACTTTATCAACCACGCATGGATGATTGGGCTGAGTAAACTCCCAACAGGGATTTCAACTAATGACCTTCCAGCTGTGAGCTGTACGCTTTGAGCACTGTGCCACCTGGCCGGTTTCTTAAGATTAACAACGACCTGAAACTAGTATAAAAAGGTAAAGTATTCAAGTGTAGACATTTGGATAACATCGCAAAAGAGGCCATTACTCACACTGAGTAGGAGCTGCCATAATAAATTGTACCCATTCATTGGCTGGGAATCAAACTCGGCTTGCCAGGGTCAACGCATGGAGCACTAACAATCGTGCCACAACTTTCCCTTTCAATAAGTACAGTACACTCGAACGGTGTAATTACTAATTAAAAGTGAGCCAAGTGACGAACTGACGTTTGAACGGTTTAATAGTACTCATTGTAACATGTGATAGTTTGATAGTAGGCATTGTAATATGTGATAGTTTGATAGTAGGCATTGTAATATGTGATAGTTTGATAGTAGGCATTGTAATATGTGATAGTTTGATAGTAGGTATTGTAATATGTGATAGTTTGATAGTAGGCATTGTAATATATGATAGTTTGATAGTAGGCATTGTAATATGTGGTAGTTTGATAGTAGGCATTGTACACCGGTTAGTGCTGTACTAGTCACGATTTGGCACGTTTTGTTTTTTTACGTGACAAACCTTAACTAATTGGCTGTGTCGGGTGGTGGTGGGTTTAACGACACAACATTTCTATTCACGAGAACTAACCCAAAACAAGCTCGATGAGATGTTCTATGGAGGTGACGCGCCATTCCATCCGCGATGGAAACCGCCGGCGGTGTCGGTGCAGGAGGCAGGGCGCAGCGCGCCGTAGCAGCCCGGTGAGAGTCGTGCCACTCGGTGAGTTCTGCGCACCGGGTTGCGATCAGCTGCGGTCTGGTGGTCTCTGGCGTCGCGAGCGCTACTGGCAGCTGTACTGTTGGCCTGGGGGAGCTCTCACACTCGCTGAGCATCAGCCCACGACAAAACAACAACTTTAACTTACGAGGCGCTAAGTTACGTAACCTAAACGTCTCAAGATGTGCACGTGCTCCTGACTTGTTGAGACTTAGCATAGGAAGGTTATGCCCATTGCGAACGTGCGGCACGCCTTTTAACACGCATGCAACATATCGTCGCTTTTAGGTTGTTGTTGGGAAGGCAATGACAAAGGTGCAGCCCTGAAGTTACTTGCTCACGTCACTTGTGCCGTAAGGGCCTCCACTTAGCGTGAGCTCTAGAGAGCCCCTCTAGAGGTTGTGTTAATTACAGAGCAATAATATAACAACACTGCCCTTTAATTACTCGAAGTCCTCGCTGACTGTTTAGTTTACGGGGGGTCTTGCAGTGCGATGTTTTGCCAACCCATTTAACGGGCGTCGAGCAAGTAGGAAATGGACTGTGCTCATTACGCACGCGTCAGATTGCTTGCGGGATAAATCATTACTTGAGATGTACGCTGGTACCACATTTGGATGAGTGTGCCAAAGGAGAGTCAGAATCGGATCAGCATCAGAATATGTATTTATACTGGAGGAAGCCGATAAACTAGAACGCTCTTTTTCACAGATGTCCAGTCGACCCTAGAGTGAGAGTATGGACAGAACAATTGAGGCAGGCAGTGTAAACGAGATAGAATTTGTATTATACCTGAAACAAAGAAGATAAATAAATGTGGGGAGCAAAAAAAACAAGTACAGTCTCGAAAACTATTTCATTGGGGGTTGGCATTTAAGAGAAAGGTAGGTTTAAAAATAAAACTATTACACGTTGTAATGTTAAACTTTTATATTCCGTTCTTTGTTAGATATTAAACACTCCACCCTGCCCATGAATTGTAGGGCATTTGAATGATATCCTTTGGAGTGTGTGCAGTTTGTTTTATTTGGCTAGAGCCGAATGGCACCATGCCTCCTCTCAGCCTCTATAGGCCTCGAGTGGGGTCAAAGTTTGAGCCTGTGGTTAATTTCTTAGCCAAGTGCATCTGAGATGCACACGTAAAATTGGCGATCCTGGTGTCGAGTATATATGTACATATGTTGAACTTATTTCGCACCGTACATAGCCAACCGTGTTGATCGGAGGTGCGGATGTTATCGTGAACCCTGCTCGATCCACTTTTTCAAACGCTCGTTGTGCAGGTTGACGGTTCGAGCCCAGCGGCCACACTGATTAATACTGCAGGTGTATTTATCCACAAAAATACAATGCCGCCCTCTACACAGTGGACGTTAAAGATCCCGTGATATCAGCCACAAGATCCCGTGATATCATTCACAAGATTCGACCATCATCTGCCGGTGTCTTTGTCCAAGTTTGCCAAATTTTAAACATTACACCACAAATTTCTCAAGTGGAATCTGCACCGCAATCATCGCCCCCTCCTGCAAAGTCTTGGCAGGACCCTCTTGAAAAATGGTCACGAGGCTCGGCGAGACATTCCTGTGTAAACAAGCGGAATAATAAAAAAAACATCATAACGGTGAAAAATTTGTTGCATTATTTGCACATTAGGGCGCATAGTGTACATATAGTTTTTGTAAAGATTACAACTTTACGCGATGCTGATGAGACTCTGATGGATCAGAGTGTTGTTGTCCACAGTTGCTGCTTAGAGAGAGACGTGCAAAATTGGATTTTCGTTTGGGTTGAGTTCTAAATGGGAAGCATCAAATACACACGTGACAACGGGACAATTCGAGCCTCCGCATGATTCCGTCCTGCATTATATACGCCGTGATAAAACAGATGCAATACTAATGATTGACCTACATGCCTCTTTCACCGCCAGCAGAGTGACTGTCAATTACACTTCTTTCCTTTGGCAATAAAAAATGTTTATTCCCTGGCAGTTTTATGTGAGCACTTAGAATTGTGCTTTACTGCCATTCTCGTGCGCGGCTCCGTTGGCTGCGGTGTCATTCTGCCCTCGCGGGGCTCAACAGAGCGCACACGTGGACGGGTGATGAGGGCTTTATTTCTCAAGCAGCCGCAGGATAAGCGGGCCTGCGTTGTGTTTCAGTAACTCGTCAAGTCCTCCTCGCGAGCCGCACGCGTGTGGACGGGTTGACAAATGCGATGCGCTTAGTTGGACACCGTGCTCTGTCGGTAATCGAGGGAAAGCAAACGCGGTGCCGGTGGTTTAACTCGTGAGCTTGCAAGTGGTTGCAAAGTACTGGGATGATTTAAACAAATTTGACCTTCATAGCCAATATGGTATTGGCACTCCAGTTAGGGCAGTGTCAGGGTTAGAGTTGGCACTGTGGAAAGTCTGCAGGTTCCGTTGGCTTTGGTCAGCGAGCTTTTCGTTACCGTGCACACCGCACCTCGCCGCTCTGCTCCACCTGCAGTGGGGGGCAAGAGGCAGGTTTAAGATGTGAACCGTGAACGCCGCAGATGCCCGGATACGAGCGAGCGGAAGAAACAACACGTCCGTCACGCCGCTCGTCGCGAGGATCGCGGCCGCGCGCGTCCACCGCCCTGCGCCGCGCACCACATACGCTCGCCGCCAAATGAAGGAACCTTGATTTAAGGAAGGTCACGGTCACTGGCTCTGTTGAGATCCATCCGTCACAAGGCGCAGAAAATAAATGCGAGAGAGTGAGCAAGAGGGAGAGAAATGCCGATGTTGGGGCGACAAGGAAGGAGGCTGAGGAAGTACAAGGTAGAGGAGAGAGAAAGGGAGAGGGAGCGTGTGAGCCGGGCTGCTGTGGGACGGCAGGGCAGTGTCCATGGAGGCGAACGTTATTGAGAAGAAAGGTTAATCACGCGGGCGGTCCATCAGCCGGCTGACGCGCGTGCATTTGCGCTGATTTACTGTCGCGCATATTGCATTAACGGCGCGGGCTGACGGCGCCGTTATTACCGTAACGTCCGCACGAGTCTCCGCGGAGTAGCCCCGAACGGTCACCTCTCCACCGTATGAATACGTAAATTCCTGCGGCAGTGCGATGGCATTTGGACGACGGCGGTGGTTGCTGCCCTGTAAATATAATTTTGCGACGGTTTAATTCCAATTCGTATTCTGCACGTGCGTGTCACATTTTCAAGCGCTGTTTTATTTTTCCGGAACGGGCGGTGGGTGTCGGATTAATAATATATGCAGGACACATTTTGCAATTGGATAAGAAAAAAACGGCGCGATGCCTGGAGGTGGACGCGGCGTTGCGTGCGAGCCGCTGGAAATGAACTGCCGTGCGGGGCTGCCGGGGAAGGGAAGGGCTGCTGAAATATTGACTGCGCCGGGCTTCTGAGTGATTGGATGGTGGGTGCAGTGGCGGGGTGCTCGCTCGCTCGCTCGCAGGGCGGCACCGGCAGCTTCCGCGCCGCCTCGGTAAGAAAAAGAAAAAAACCTCCCCAAAAACCCTCCCGACAAAAACTCGTGGCGGCGATGGCCGGGCGGTCAGGGAGCGGCGGTCACAGCTGCAGGGATGGCTGCGCGTTTCCCACGCGCTGGTGCCTCGGCTGCATGGGAACTTCTCCCAAGTGCACGGTGAGATCGGCGTCTCTCGCTCGCTTGTGTCCTCCGTCGTGCGCCCCCCCCCCCCAGCACCACCCCCCCCCCACCCCCCGCGTGTTTCATATTAGAGCTCTGCGGATGCTAGAGTCCTTTGTGGAAGAGCGGAATTCGTCGAGATGACTGTTATTGTGATTTCAGCGGTGTCCCTCTTATTCCTCGCGACGGCATCATCCCCTGCGGTGGTGATGCTGTCGAAATGCCGCTACAGTGATTCCGCATTCCCGTGCAGATGAGCAACTCGCTGCTATTGCTGCTGCTGCAGCTGGGCAATTCTGACAGCTGCCCCCGGGGAATTCATGGAAATGGCGGAAGGAGTATTTTGCATAAACATCATGATTAATTACTGTCATTTTCTCTTTATTAATAAAAAAAGGACAGAGTCACAATTGTTGCCAGGCAGCCAATTCTGCAAATTTTCGTGGGCGGCAGCAGTGGGGACGTTAGAGATTACACTTTGAGGCATGAATATAGAAAATGCTATCTTTCAGAATTTTCTGAGTGCGTACACACGCGCACGCGTGTGTGTGTGTCTGGGACTGGAGAGCGGTAGTGTAGCGGGTAGCGCGCTACACTACGAACCCGACGATCCGAGTTCGATTCCCGCTCACGGCCTACACCAGTGACGATTATCTGAACCGGTCCTGGGCCTCCCCTAGGTCGACTGAGTATCTGGTGCGGTGTGTAAACATCGCCACTGGGGAGACAAAGGCGGTCGGGCGTGTTGCTGGCCTACCACCCCCTCGTGTATTGTGTCGGACTTCATAGGTGCTCACGAACATCACTTGCCCTAAGAGTCTGTTAAGGCTATATGGGGGATCTTTGGCTTTGTTCACCTCTATTGGTTGCAAAGTGGTCAGTGTGGAGGAGCAGTGGCGCTATTCAGAAGAGGTTTTTTTTTGGGTTAGATCGCGTAAATATATAAATGTGTCGTTAAAGCCCACCACCACACGACACGGCCAACTAGTAAGGGTTGTCACGGAGCAGAATTGCCATGTTCTGTTAACGTGACAACCCTTACTAGTTGGTTGTGTCGGGTGGTGGTGGGTTTTAATGACACATTTATAGATTTACGCGATCTAGCCCCAAAAAACTCTTATGGATGATATTAGTCGCGAAAGCCTTCGTGTTAAAGTGCTATGAATGTCGCGTCCTGAGTTGTATTCCCCGTCGCGGCGAACAACGGTGGTGAGCGGTATCTGAACTGGTCCCGTGCTGTCCCTAATATCACTCAACTTGTAACGACTACCTGCTGTGGTGCGTAAACGTCTGCACTGGGGAGACAAAGGCGACCGGGCGCGATGCTAGCCACGCCACCCCTTTGTGCCCCGTACCGGCCTTCAAAGGTGCTCGCTTGTGGCACTTGCTCCCAGCCATCTATGCAGCCTACGCTGGGGATCCGTTGTCTTTTGCCATTGTCTTTGTCATCTCTGCCTTTCACGGTCGTGCCTGCCCACGATTGCTGTGGCTGCTCCTGCTGCTGCCTCTGCTGCTCGCGTGGTGTTGGCTCTCTGGAGTCCTTGCGTAGAGGTCACGTGCAGCCTTGGCCGGGCATGTCCTCGCGCACGATGGATGCGTGGGTGCAGCCCGGCACATTGCAGCCATTGGAGGCTCAGGCTCTTGCTGGATTGGTCTCTTACTGTTGCTACACAAGACCTGCGTGAAAAGACGGTAAGACATGAGAATATGAGAAACCAAAGAATGGCATTTAAAAAATGCTCTTCGGCTCAACTGTCCTGCCATCGAATATTGGTGCGATCGTGCAGGTGTGTAGCGTCCTGTCATTGTATTATCTTTCATGTTATTTTTGTTCAAGAAGGCCCCTCTGCTTTGGGATGTTTGGCTGTTTCCTGTCTATGGAGTGTGCGTGCGTTGATTACGGCAAGAAATGTGTATACCTTAAAGAGAACCTAACGTATAAAAGGTAATAACATTCAAAGGTCCACATCGATGATTTCACGATCCGCCGTAACACTCGAAGGCCCACACACTGCCATGTCCTCGTAATCCTATAGCCTCGTGGATTCAGGAGCTTCACATAATCTACGTGGTGCTCCAGGTCCTCTCGGATGGGGGGGCAGTAGAGCTGTGGTGTGGGGGGCCACCGTCCCAGTGCCGCACTGCTAGGTAGGAGAGTGAACGGGTGGGAGGTGGGGGCTAAAGGAACATTTGGTGGTGCGGGGCCCATCTCGGCAACCCCTAGCGCTGCCCCTGCTGCCCCACTGAGCCTGGCTTTTAAAAGCTTCACCGTGTCCGGCTCGTACTGTGATGCACGTACACGCGTCTCTTCCCGTAACAATTGTCTACCGAACTCAATCTTGCAGACAACTACAGCTGCCGATGCAATGGCCCGAATTAAATCGGCCTCGGCAGTTGCTGGCTGGGATGATATTCCAAGACCGTAATTTGATCCCAGTGGCTGAATAATTGTATCGTAAATGCCAGCTCTACCTGATCAGCTTGTAATCCTGGCCAATGCAGTACTTGTTCCTATTCATATCATTTATTTGCCATTAAATTCATTTCTACATTTTCGCAGATCCCGCAATGGTTTGTCTGGGCGTCATTGTTTGCATTCGTGTGAATGAGTTTCGAAACAAGAATGCGTACGTATGTGTTATTTAATTATAAAACAAACCACCTGCAAGGAAAGAACACATTGTGGTTACAACATTGACAGCATTACATGTTACAACGCAGGGTGCTGGGTCGTGCTTGCTGAGTAATTACAGGGGTGTACTTACATAAATACACACGCACTCGTCAGACTCCTGTGATGCTCTCTCGTGCATTTCGATTCGTGTCCATTCTCAAGCTTTCGATGCGTGCATGGAATGTCGTGCGAAACAATGGCTGTTTTTCGATTCGTGTGAAATGGGTCATGGCGAGTTCGCCATGTGACGCAGTTTGTTTCTGATCTCATTTCAATTTTACTTCATTTCGCGTATTTTGTTTGGCTTTTGTCAATTTGGTGCCCCAGGTCACACGTACAAACGAAACTCCTCTATCCTCTTGAGTTATCAGCTGGCTCGACAAGAACTTCAACTTGAAATTTGACTCCTCCAGCCGCAAGAGGCTTCCACCCCAAGTCGTAACAGTCCTTTGAATCTTGTGGGAGGTGGGTGGGGGCGGACAAGTCAATACTTAACAGTGATCTAAAATGATGTGTACATATCCAGCATGAACTTCCTGCAATATTAATGCGATCTAATCTCTGTGTAATATAGATGCTCATTCGTGCAATTATTTTGGCCATCATTCCCCCCAATATTTGGTGGAATGACGACCAAGTTCCGCATTAAAATTGGAGAAAAAAAATTCACCTCCGATTAGCACGATGACTACGTATGGCGGGCGAAATAAGTTCAACATACATGCATCCAGTGCGGCTGATGACTACGTATGGTGTGTGAAATAAGTTCAACATACATGCATCAAGTGCGGCTGGTTCCGTACAAATATAGAACCACCCTGCAACATGTTCCTCAGTGCAAATTGAGCCAGAAAGTGACCACGTGAATGAGGCGCAATCAATTTGGTGGAATTTGATACACTCCAGAATTTCACGACTGTGCGGAAACATACTCTACGTGAATCGGGCCTACGATAAGCTACAATTCAACAGCATACACTTAAGAAAACGATATTTCCATAAAGGGATACGGCTTCGAGTGTGTTGGTTGTGTAAGGTTGTTATTTATCCGTCGTAATGCCTGTTTGTGTATATTAACTGGTCTTCTTGTTGGATGCGCAGTTGGTCCATTGTGATATGTGGGTACTGTCAGAATCCATCATTGAGTGATCGCCGGTGTTGGCACCGTGCGTGCAGGCCGTGAATGCATCGGCCAATAAATTTTACCGTCAGAAACAAGTTGAAGGCCTGATGGAATATAGTATCCCATTTCGAGGGGGGATGCTGATTAACTTTATTGGGAGGCAACTGTGATTGTAATATAATGCACTTTGGATTTATATAGTGACTAAATGTCACCGCATCTCAAGATGCTGTATTGTAAAAGTGGGAATATTTTATACAGAGGCGTCATAGGCAGAGGACTGTCTTGAGCCTGAAACTGGACGGGAGTAGAGAGTCAACAGCATGGATGGCTGGGGCAAAGGAGTTCTAGACAACGGGCCAGCAGAGGAGAATGAGCGACCTCCCACTCGGCTAAGGTTGGCTGGGAGCTTAGACAACAGTGTGCGGAGCATGCGTAGAGGGGAGTAGAGGGTGCAGAGGTAGGCAGGGGTTATGTCTTGGAGGATCGTGAAGATGGGGAGTGTGAGATCTTGACATTGATCTAGGATTGTATTCGCAGACAAAAGAGCGATTGGCGTATTGGGGTAATGTGGTCTAATATATGATTTATGGGTGAGAGTCATTTAGCACAATGTCATTGCATAGATATTTAAAATTTTTAGAATCGTGATCCAGAGTAATGTTTTATAAGAAGTAGTGTAAGAAGTCACTATTTTGCCATTCATTGCATTTCAACAAATTAGAGTTACAATTAAATTCCAGAATCAATTCTGTTTTTAACATCGTGGTGAATTTAGCGGCCACTAGCGGCTGCAGAGGCCATGTGAACACACTGCATACAACATATACAAATAAAAAAGACGACTTGTAATCACACAAGTCATGGATGGTGGCTTGGCCCAGCGCTTGTTGCAGAGGTTCACGGTTCAAAGGCAGTGGCCGCCCTGGTTATTACCGCGGGTGTAATGACAATAATAATACTATGCGCGGTCTGCTGCACAGTGGATATTAAATGATCCCTTGACGTCATTCATAAGAGCAGGGCCATTGTTTGTCGGCGACGGGGTGCAATTTTTTTCATATTCGAAAATTACCTGCCATTTACTCAAATGGGATTACGCAGCAATCATTGCTCCCTCCTGGCAGACTGATGCCTGTTTCGAGGTCCCCGGCAGTCCCCTTGTGCCCACAGGAACAGCTACCACTGGCGGTGCCCTTT